GATCAAGCTAGTACCAGCCAGAGGCATTTATTATACAAACTTACATGTATTGATGTAACTGGCAAATCAATGTAATTAAATAACTCATGATGATATTTAACGGACATGCAAGATGAGAAAAAGACCATGACCTTCTTCTTACGATTCTTCTTCAGAAAAGTAAACAGCACCAACAGACGTTTCTCAGATGGGCAGACAATATAACCTTGCTCCAGGCCGCTAACTGTCGCCACATCTTTATTATCATCAACACCAACATATATTGGTTCTTTCTTCAAAGCCAATCTGGACAGTGCATCAATTTGTGCCGTTTGTGTAGCAGAAAACAGCATCGTTTGACGTTTTTCTAAGTATTTAAATTAATTATATTAATTATAATGGAATAAACACATTAAAATAAAATAATTGTAATTATTCTTACTTGGCAATAAATTAATAATTTGTTTTAGTTCTTCTTCAAACCCTATTTCTAGGATACGATCGACTTCATCAATAATTAGGCATTGCAAATTTTTATAAAGAAAATTTGGAGAATTTTGTAAATGATCCAATAAACGACCAGGTGTAGCAACCAGAATGTTAACACCTTTACCAAGCTTTTCGCTTTCTACATGACGATTGGAACCTCCCATTACCAAACCATAAGTGTGATGATGATGTGCCATTAATTCTTTAAGCACCCCAAATGTTTGCATAGATAATTCACGCGTTGGTGAAATTATAATAACGCCTGTGCCATTGCGTGGCATAAAACGCAATTTATAAATAAGCTCAACAGCAGGTATAAGAAAAGCTAATGTTTTCCCGGAGCCAGTTTGTGCGGCACCAACTAAATCTCGACCTCTTAACAAAGGAGGCAAGGACTTTGATTGTATTTCAGTCATATCAGTAAAACCCATATCTAAAATTGCCTTCAATGTTGCTTCAGTTAGTATTCCTTTGAGTGAAGCAAATGAACGATCATTTGGATCACGTTGAGATAATAATTCTTCAAAAGTAAGTGTACTTTTTTCATCATCTTCATTTGATTCTTTTATATCATTTGTGGTTTTTTGTTTCCCAACTTGTGCTACATTATTTTGTTTGGGTTTTTTGTTAACAACTGCTGTAGGTGGTTCATCATCTGAATCAGACATTTCACTGTCTTCATTTATGCTATCACCTAAAATTAAAGTTACGTTAACGAAAAATATAATTCAAGTTATATTTATAAATCATTCTATATCTTCAGTTAAGTCACTCATAATTTCATAGAATATCGTATTAAGCATTAACTCGCTTTAGATAACTCAAATTCGCCTTTGGCTCATCATTAGTTAATGATTTATTTTAGTTTTTTTATTTGTAAAACTTACCATTTTGATTTGATTCATCGGAGTCTAATTCCGAGTCAGAGTTCACGACTTCTATTTGCGATTGCTTTTTGCCTTTTTTTGATTTATTTATAGGCGATATATCTTGATTGCACTCTTCATCTATAATATATATTTATATATACATTATTTTTTAAATGTTTTAGAAAGATTATTAAAGAACATATGAACGTTACCTGCATCCACCGATTGTTGTATGTAATCAAAATTATTTGGCGGTTTCCCTTTTTTCTTAGCCAATTCTTTTTTCATTTGTTCACGCTTTTTTATTTTCTTCATCAAGACCCTTTCTCGTATCGATATCATTTTGAATACTTCTGTTTTTTATTTGATTAGAATAAAAAACAATTCAACTGCAACAATGCTGTATTGAACGCACGTGTTTGCTTCTTTTGTACTAAAATTTGCCAAACAAGACAAATCGAACAAAATTGCAAAACGTCAAACTTTTGTTTTCATTAATTTTATTTGTACTGTACAGAGTAGTACACCAAAAGTACACAATAATTGTTTATTTATTAAAAAAATTTTATACCGACAAATAATTAATGATTTTAATTATTTTATAATTATTTATTATACCTTTATATTTTATTTAATATATAAATATGCGAAATTTTGATTTATTGTCATGCAAAAAAAAATTTAAGCGGTATATGCCAGACTATATTAATTTTATTTGTAAAAGTGGAATTAGTTTACTTTATTTTTATATATATATTTGGATTACTTTTTTAACTTAATAATTAAAAAACTAATTCTATTATATTATGTTTTGTATGTAATATATTAAATGTTTGCAGGTGTTAAATATGTGAATACTATTGAATGTTAATTTGATAGCTGAAATCAATTTAAAATTAATATGCATTTATTTCGAGAATTTGTGCTTATAAATTAAACAAAAATTCCATATATTAAAGAAATGCAAATATTAAAATATTTATTTTAAAATGACCACATAGATTTTTACATGCACAGTACACGTATAAGTCTTATGTGTCAGAACCATAGAATACGTGTATTTTTTGTACGAACATTTATTTTACAGAAAGTTGTTTGTATAAGTTGGCAACTCTACGTTTTATTTGACAGTTTAAATGTGAACAAAAACTTAAAGCGAAAAATGTTAACAATTTTATTAACAAGAAAAGAAAATAAATATTAACTAAAATTGGCTGATTTTTGTACAAAGTTATTTTATAGCACAAATTTAAAGTATGTATCTTTAATATGACACGTAAAGTCATTCTAAATGCCGAAGCATTGTGGTAGATTTAAAATTATTTTCTATGTATTTAAATTAATTTTTTTAATTTTTATTAAAAAATTTTTGTATTTAAATTAATGTCACTAATGAATATTTATTTCAAAAAAGGGTATATTACAGTTATTTTTTTCGTTTGGTTACTAATTGGTTAAAGTTTGAGTGTTCATTAAATATACTAGAAAAAAGTTGGTTACTTTAATAAATATTAATAAAATCAAAGAGTTAATTCCTATTCTGAATAAAACAACGTTTCTGAATAAATCAAAATTACTAATAATCAAACAAAATTTCATTATAAAAATATGTATATATTTATTTTTTTAACAATAAAATAATAGTAAACATATTTGTATTACAAAAAGTAAATGTTTCTTTTAATAAATGAATAATAAATTAATAATGAAAAGTAAAAGGTACCCGAATAATATACATAAGTGCTTTCTGAACACGGAAATTCAAATAAGTTTCGTCGGATATCTATACTTGCTCATGTTTTCTTTTTTCAAAACTTGCTCATTAGATAGCGAGAAATGTGTTTTCAACGACACGAGCAACTTAAGCCACTAGTTTGACAGGTGATCATTTGGGACAAAGTAGCTTTGGTTCATAAGGCTGCAATTTTAACCTAACCAGACTTCTGGTATATTAGTTATCAGGTATCTTAGACTGTTTTCTTACTAGATTTATCCACTTATTGCTGTTTATTTGAGAACACACCATATTTTGCATCATATGACGATCCTGGCAGTGATGAAATGCAGCACCAAATGTATTAATCTTAAAATTAATTATAAAAATCTATAAAATTAATGGAGATAATTTAATAATATAGAGTATATATTTTAAACAATATATTTTTATTTCTCCAGTCTAATAATATAAAATATATATACATATATAATATGTAAAGGAGAGTTATAACAAAATTTATCAATATCAATTTACAGTATTTACGATTGACAATATTTTGGACATTCTTCTATGAATAAATTATATATAAAGTAGTGTTCAAATATTACTTCAATCTATATATTATATAATAAACATTGTACATAATTGTTGATGCGTTGTAAATAATAAATTTTAATAAGGAAAATGTACATAAAACAGTGTAGAAATATTACTATAATGAAATTTTATTCTATATATTACATTATAAATGATACATTTTTATGAAAAACAAGAATGTAAAAATATTACAAACAATTATTATTCTAAAAGTTTTATTTCTAATTTATATAAAAAACAATTTAAACATTTTGAAATAATAAAGCTTTATGATATAAACAATTGTTAGTGATATTCATTTCACTTAAATTTTAATCATATATGATTTATACATTATTATTTAATATATTATGTTGTGGTTTACATCATTATTATATAAAATCTCAAAATATTTAAATCTTAAATGTAACGATGTATATATATATATATATATTCCCAATTAGTTAAATTAGTTACGATATAATTTGAAGTTACGATATAATTAATTTGTAATAATTATTATTTAAATTATTTTTTTTACGTTTTTTAACTATGCATTAAATTGTAGTATATATATGTTAAATAAAGATAAATAATACTAATAAATTATAATTAATATTAATATTTATAAATAAGAACATAGTAACATTAAAAAGTTAATTACATTAATAAGCTTATTTTATAAGCTGATTTTTTATTTATTTATTTTTTAATTTCACCTTTTAGCTAAGGATCTATTAAAAATTAAATAAAATATATTATTTAAATCTTAAATATTAATTAATGTATTAAAAGCTGAGTACATTAATGTAATTTATGTTTATGCATTTATTTTAAATATAAGTTAAGTTAAATAAATTTTGATTATAGAAATTTTATATTAGATCTAATATAAATCTAATATATTATATTAGATTAAATTAATTTGAATTAATGAAAATTGAATTTAAATTAACTATGTATAGTGTATAGCTATATTATAACAATTAACTATATAAGAAAGTTAATTCTTTCTAATATATAATATATTAATATATTAGTTTAATATATTTTAATATTAATATATTAGATTCATATTAGATCTAATATGTTAGATGAAACTAATATTAATTTTACAACATAAACGGAGGATTGGAACACTTATAGGTACTTACAGTATCACTTTTAAATAATAAGAACTAGCCTATTCATCATAGATATGAATGGTACAAATATCTAAATTCATCTGCCATTATTCATACAAATAAAGTATGAAACATAACGTTATAGGCGAGCCTGCCATATTTTCTCAAGTAATTAATTAACGTAATTATATTTATAACTAAAAAACAATTTAACTAGTTACTCAATTTAATAATTTAACTAGTTAAAACTCATTAAAATATTTACTTTAGTTATCGACTATATATAAGCAAATAATTTAATATTTATACAAAATATATATTAATGCTGCAAAATTAATAACTAAATAATAATTTTGTAAAGTATTATATTTAATTAAATTTATTTCATTATTATTATTTTTTTTACATATTCATCACATTTATTTTTAGTTTATTAAAAAATAATTAAAAATTATTATTCTTAATTATTTTTAATTGCTAATTGCAACTTCTGACACTATATAGTGAAAGCCAATTATAGGTATATATAATTCAATTATTAAATTTTATTCCCGTAATAAATCACTAAAAAAACTTATAAAAGAAAGTATTTATTCTAAATTAAAAATGCTAAATATAAAATAAAATTATGCTTGAAACTTATTTGATATAAATTACAATTTTATTTCACTTCAACCTATTGACTAAGGAAATGAATTAATTTTATATACAAAATGTATATCATTTAAATTAATTTAAATTAATAAAAATTGAATTTTAATTAAATATGTATAGTTAATAGCTATATTATAACTATTAACTATATAAGAATTAATTCTTTTGTTGATTATACGAAACATTTAATGCATTTGAAAGTAATTAATTTAAGTAATTGTCTTAGTAAGTAATGACTTAAAGTAGTTATTATCTCAAACTAACTTAAAACTAATGGGAATATATATAAAAGCTACTTTAAACAATGTAGTAATTTAAAGTAATGTAGTACTTAATTATAGTAACTGTATTAGTAAGTAATGAATGATAGTAATTAATGACTAAAAGTAGTTGTTATTTCAAACTAAATTAAAACTAATGGGAATATATATAAAGCTACTTTAAACAATGAAGTAAGTTACAGTAATCTAGTACTTAACTACAGTAATTGCATTAGTAAGTAATGAATGATAGTAATTAGAGTATCTAAAACTAACTTTAAACCAATGAGAACATGCATACACTACTAAAAAAAGTGTAGTAATTAAGGCAAACACAATATTTACATGCAAAATTACAATATTTACAATATATACAATGAAGTGTTACTATAGATGTTGAAACTAAAGTGATGACGTGATTGTTTTAATAGATGTTAAAACTAAGGTGATGATGTGATTGTTATAATACAGTTTACTGCCACTTAAGTGTTTCATTCTACAGTACTGTTATGACTTTTTAAATGTTTTGTGAAACTGAAAATGTAAAAAAATAAGCAATTTAAATTTTTATAATATAACTATAATATAAATACTAAGACACTATAACTATAAATATACTAAGACAATTCCTTTACCATAAATATTCACTATTTGTTAATACATAGATGTATTTAGGTAGAACCTAGTTCTCTAGAGACGCTAGTTCTCCTGTATCTCTCTTTTCGCTAGTTCTCTTGTATTGCTATACTTTAGAAAAAGTATATGTAAAAATATTCACCGGACTGATCTTTACTGTGAACCATATTTGTCGGTGTATTATATCAAGGGCCCGCTTATTTGTCACACCAGTATATAGCGCCCTTATTATTTCACTTTAGCGCCAATGGGCTCCCTAATCTTTTTTTACCTGTTATCTACCCCAATAGGTATATAAATAATTTATTTTGAAATTATTATTTACTTACGTTGTATAAAATTTAAATGTAGCCGAGCAAATCTGACACTTATGTGGACCATCATGTTGCTTGGCATGCAATTTGAGATGGACGTGCTGTATGAAGGATTTCTCGCACATATTACACACATATTTGCG